TTTATTTATTTGACAAAGAGAGACACAGCAAGAGAGGGAACACAAGCAGAGGGAGTGGGAGAGGGAGAAGCAGGCTTCCCGCTGAGCAGGGAGCCTGATGTGGGGCTGGATCCCAGGATCCTGGGATCATGACCTGAGCCAAAGGCAGACGCTTAACGACTGAGCCACCCAGGCGCCCCCCAAGTGAGGTTTCTTAACCCTTTTCCCTCAGCTCCCCTGACAGGTGCAACAGGGCTGTGCCAGGACTCTGCTGAATCATCTTGCTGGATTGATTGATTGATTGATTGCTGGTCTTCATCTCACCATCTCTCCCTACAAGCCAAAGGTCGCCAAGGAAGAGAGGTCAAGGAAATCCACCCACTTGGAGAGTTGCAAAGATAAGTGGTTATCCAAGTACTTTTCAAAAGGAGAGTCACGGAGGTGTTCACAGACATTCACCCAGACCCCAAATCCAACAGATGTGAGCTGAACCTCACCCTCCCTTCCTCTTCTATGTAATGGTTACCAGGTTAAATTAAAATGTGTATAGTGGGGTGGCTGGGTGGCGCAGTTGGTTAAGCATCTGACTCTTGGTTTTGGCTCCTTTGGTGATCTCAGGGTCATGGGATCGAATGCACGTGTTGGGCTCCGCAGCCAGTGCGGAGTGTGCTTAAAGATTCTCTCCCTCTGCCCCTCCTCCTCCTTTCTCTCTCTAAAATAAATAAATAAATCTTCAAAAAATGTGCATAGGGTAGGTGTGGAGGAGCACATCCAAGTACTGCTTCTACCCAGCTAATTCATTTCATCTGGAATGCTACACACCAAATATGTCCACAGACCACAGAGGGGATGCTAGAAGACATTGGAATGACTGACCAGGAACTTGTCAATTTTTTTTTTTTAACTTACGTCTGCACACAACATGGGGCTCAAACTCATGGCCCCAAGATCAAGTGTCAGATGCTCTACTAACTGAGCCAGCCAGGCACCCATGGACTTGTTACTTTGAACGTTTCATGAACAGAGTGTCTTGCACTGCTCCAAGCAGGAAGGTGTATGCCTTCCATGCTGGGGTTCTGTTTGGGCATATCAGCCGACCAGAGAATGCAGAGTTTCCCAGTGTTGGCATAGCAGCCTCGGGACTCCTGTCGTCTTTACTTCGCCCACATTAACACTCCTATTTAGCAAGGTTGACACGTCACTATAACCACCTCTGAAAATTATGTCTGGTCAAATGCATCGGCTAGATTTCAGATTCTTGCCAAAACTGGAGATGACTTTTTTTTTCTTTGAACATAGTATCTTCCTCATGAAAGCATACAGCTCCCACAAGGAATCGATAAATTTGGGGACGAGGATCCCTTGCCTCTGTGTTCCCATTGCCAACCTTACAAAATCTGGTCCTGCATGCCCTGGGATTTTGTCATAGGGGATGACTCAGTTAATTACCACTGTTTCTCACTGTACACTTGGAAACAGAGGTTCAGTTTCCTTTGGTTCTTGCCAAAGCTGCTTATGAAACATATCTGGTGCTGGTGCCGACGGCCTATAAAAATACCGGTTCATACTTTCCCCTGACACATTTCATTACGGGCTAAATTTAGCACCTCGCCTGGAGCGCAGCAGCTCACCTGCTCCTAACTAGCATGTCTCCACTTTCATGCCTGCTCAGGGTGCCCGCGTTCCTGTCTGGCGCCCTGTGTCCCCACTGATCATGGTGACATCTAGAGAAACAGATGTCAGTTGTCAAAGACAGACACGGTGTTTGGGACTGGCGATTAACACTGGATCTTCTATGGAAAAAAGCCTTTGTCATAGGTTTAAAGAAGGGTGTCAGTGCTTCATCACGCGTTGCTTCGGTTACAGGTGAGACGGACCGCATTCTCAGGGCCATCCCACACTCGGGTCTGCCGCCGCCTCTGCCCACCTCTGTCCCAGCGCGGAGAAATCCCTGGACCTCTCTGCGCGGCTGGCGTCCCCCGGCCCCCACCCCCGCCTGTGCCTAGCGCCACGTGCACTTCTCCCCGTCCCAGCAGGATCGTGTTCCTTGCTTATCAGTTTGCGAGAGCGCTCCACGCAGGCAGGACCCAGCCCCCGTGTGACAGGTGCCTATTTCGGTGGTATCTCACTCGTGCCTCCGCGCCGCTTGTCCACTACCGTGCGGTGCTCGAAGCAGCAGTTCTCCGCGCCCCAGCGGTGATGAGACAGCCCCGCCCGCGGCCCTGGCTCCCGGTCCGGACCAGCCCCCCGGACCGGTGGGAGAAACCCCACCGCCCACAATGCCCTCAGCCGCGGCCGCCAGCATTTAAGGCAGGCCGGCGAGGGGCGGGGCCGGGCGGCGCCGCGACGCGCTGACGTCAGGCCCGACGGAAGGCGGGGCCCGAGCGGCGGCGGCGGTGGCGGCGGCGGTGGCGGCGTTGTTCCCTCGGGTACCGCGGGCACCTCAGCCTGGTCCTCGGCGGCCTCCTCGGCGTCCTCCTCAGAGGCCTCCGCGGCGCCTGCC